AAAAAAAAAAAAAAAAAAAAAAAAAGATACACTGCTATTCAATAAGCATACCCTTTGCTCCTAAAATGTCGTTTCTGAACATTTTATCTTCAACTGATAACTTTCCTTCTATTTAAAATATGTAAACAAGTTTCTAATTTGAGCTGTAGAGACCCATTTATAGCAGAAAGAACCCAAATCTCGAGCGGTGGTGCACACCTGTTAATTCCCAGCAGTTAGGGAAGCTAAACCAGGACGGTGGTCACGCCAGCCTGAGCCTGAACTATAGAGGAGAGAGTTGCTTTTATAAACAAATGAATGAATGAATGACTTTCGTAAATTACAAAAGCAAAGGAACTCCAAAAATAAACACCGTCTAAATTGTAATGCCACAGCCACCCAACTAAAAAAGATTGTGGAGAACACTTAAAAAGACAAATTAAACTATCTGTACTTTTCTGAAATATGCAGCTTTGGTTGTGACAGAAACAAACCCTTCACGAATCCATGAACAGTGCTGACCTATGAATATAAAACAGAGCAAAGGAGAAGCTGATAAAGCCTTCAAGTTCAGTAAGAAGGCAAGTTTTCCTGCCCTAGCTCTTTCTCCTATAGGGTTGAGCCAATACACAAAGCCTGTGACGTGTTCTCGGGGGAAGAGACTTTACCAGAGTTAATCGCTAACAATTATCAGGATTGCTTTTAACTACCGAGGCCGGAGGGCTGCTCCATTTTTCCACCAGACCCTCCTCCTCTAAGATTACTGCTGCTGATTAAGCCCGACCCAGAGGGGAGAATAAGGGCAGCCTTAATAAACGCAGATGCTGTATAGTTTAAAAAACACAAGCCTGGGTTTTATCTTTTCCCCTCCGGTTTGCTGCATCAGATACCATATAAAAAGGGCTCCTCTTTTTTCCATCTGAGCAATTTACTACGCGGCGGACAGCTACACATCGGTAAAAAGAGATTAAGTGTCCTGAATCTCCTTAACCAGCTGCAGGGGTGGGATGAAGAGACAGAAAGAAGGGATGAAAGGGAGAACTGGAAAACAAAAACAAGGTGAGGAGGCGTAGAGATCAAACTTCCCATTCCATTTCCCCTTTCTTACAAGGTTAAGTCGGCTAAAGTCCGGGTGGCGTTAGAAAAACACACACACCTTGCGCCCGGGGCAGGAGGAGAGGTTGGCTCTGCAGCGCTCAGTGGGGCTCCGGGCTCCGCCCCACCGGCCTGGGACAGTGCAGCCCTGCTCGCCCTGGTCCAGGAAGGACAGAAGAGAGGTGGCTTCTAGCGGCTCTGGCAGGGGGAGGGGGAGACGGCTACTCCCGGTGCCAGGCTCACCGAGAGCACTGCACTCCGTGGTGCGCCGACACCCCCTCCCCCAGCCGGCTCCGGCTCGCTCCCCTCCGCCGCCGGAAGCCAGCCCCGCCCCCTCAACTCCATCCCCGCTCTTTGCAAGCTCCCTCCTGTCTACACAGCCAATCGTCAGCCAAGGAACCAGCAGAGCGACTTGCCACACAGCCAACTGGGGAGGCCCACTGGGAGGTCAGTCGCCGGGGATAGGCCAGCTACCCGCCGCCCCGGCCCCGGCACGGCTCCTCTTTGTTAGCGCTGCCCCCGTCTCTCCTGGTGCCCACACGGAAACTAGAAATGTAGCCTCCAGCAGCCAGGCAGGTGTTGCCGCGCCCGCCGCCTCGCCAGCTCCTCCACCCACTCTATACCTGGTACCAAGAGTGACCAGCTCTCAGGTGTTTCCTGCCAGAACACTTCACACTTCCAAACCAATTAACCACCGGAAGACACCCATCTACAAAAGGGAAGCTCTCTTCAGGCCCTCAATGAATTTACCTTCCTTTAGTCAGCCTAATCAACTGCATTCTGTCAAAATGGTGGAAAGATTTAGGTATTAAATCAACTGCATCAATTCGTTGGAAATTCCTGCTCTCCCTGGGGGAAACTGGGGATGGGAAAGGAGCGTACTGAGAAAGTATTGTACCTAGAAGTTGGTGGAGTTGGGGAGGAAGGCAACATAACAAATCTTCTGCAGAAATAAAAGGAAACATGCAAAGATCACGAAGTTGGCTTCAACCTGTATCAGATCCAAAGCATGTACATACAATAATCCTGAGATGATCATTTCCTTATCAGATCTCGTATAATTAAGATACAGAAGAATCAAGTCTCCTTAAAATAACGTACGTAACCTTGCTTAAAACATTGCATAACTGGAAGTCTATACCCAAACTTTAATTGCTAACGCCAGTGGTGGGGGCACACTGTGGCTGGGATGGAATATGCTAAAAACAGTATGGTCTAATTGCTTGGGTTGTAGTATGGAGTTCATTTAGCAAAAACAAAGAGTGGGTGTACTGGGGGTGTGTTTGGTTGTTAGAATGCTTGCTTAGGATACAGTAAGTCCAGGTTCAGGCCTCAGAACCCTAGGTATTGTGTAGAGAGAGGCAGGAAGATCAGAAGCTGGAGGCCACCCTAGGCTTTAAGAAACCTGGGGAGGGGGTGGGTGTTGAGAGCGCGTGGGCCACCTAGTGGCAGAGCAGCAATATTAACTAATGTAAGGCCATAGGCTCCGTCCCCAACACAAGAAGAGGTGAGAAGGTAGGAGAGGAAGCCAGGAGGAGGGGGAAGACCAAAGAGAGATATAGGTCATCATTTCTGTGCAGCATTCTTGTAATTAATTGCAAATTGAACTGCATCACACTCTCCAACCCCATTTACTTCTGCACCGATAAAACTGAAAACAAAGCAAGGGTGTAGCTC